CACAAGTGGCAGTTTCAGCATTTTGGCCAATAGTGGCAGTTTAACGGTTTTAGCCACTAGTGGCCGTTCGGCCATTTTTGCCACTAGTAGCTGTTCGGAATTTTTCGCCACTATTGCCCTTTCGGCCATTTTGTGACGGTTGGGCCATTTTAACCGCTAGTGGCGGTTTGGTCATTCTGGCCACTATTGGTAGTTTGGCCATTTTGGCCACTAGTGGCAGTTTGCCATTTTAGCCAATAGTAGCGGTTTGGTCATTTTCGCCGCAAGTGACATTTTGGTCATTTTGGCCACTAGTGGCTGTTTGGACATTTTGGCCACTAGTGGCCGTTTGGCCGACTCGACCACTAGTGGCAGTTTGGCAAATTTGGCCACAGGTGGCAGTTTGGTTATCTTGGCCACAAGTGGCAGTTTGGTCATTTTGGCCACTAGTGGCTGTTTGGCTATCTCGGCCACTAGTGGGAGTTGGTTATTTTGGTCACTAGTGGCGGTTCTGTTATTTTTGGCACTGGTGGCTCTTTGGTCATTTTGGCCATTAGTGGCAGTTTTGTCATTTTGGCCACTAGTGGCAGTTTGGTCATTCTGGGCACAAGTGGCAGTTTGTTCATTTTGGCCACTAGTAGGTGTTTGGCCATTTTGGCCACTAGTGGCCGTTAGGCCGACTCGACCACTAATGACAGTTTGGCCGTTTTGGCCACATGTGGCATTTGGTCATTTTGGCCTCAAGTGGTAGTTTGGTCAGTTTGGCCACTAGTGGCTGTTTGGTTATTTTGGCGACCAGTGGCAGTTTGGCGATTTTGGCCAAAATAAATTGAAAAACTCCTTATGCAAGCCAACTTACCGAAATTAGGTCTTATCGCTTTGTCGTATCCGGTAAAAAACTTAGTAAGCAGATTGCTTTCACAGAGGACCCTGGAAAAAATTTCATATAGTAACATTTACCATAGAAAAGATGATATAAAGATAACAATAATTATAAAAGTAATAATGATGTCAAGATAGAAGGTGGTGAAGTATATTGGAGCATTTTATTCTTGGTTGTAATTTTTCTTGCTGATATGAAATTGATTGTTCTTTGGAGTTTAAAGGGCAGGGGCTGAAGATAGCTTTTTAACTTCTAATCCTGGCCGCCGTGTCAATATTTAAAGCCTGTCTTATGCAATTTCAATGTGCAAGTGTCTTATAAAGCAAAAATGATCGTTATGTACTGGAGGGTTTACGCCACGATTTATTATTATTCTTCATTTATTGATGTTTCGTTACTTTCTTAAGAAAATTTATTCAACATATATCACAATGCGGCGTTGTCTCTATACTCATGATGAATCATCGTTTACCTTCCAGGGTTTGTGAGAAGAAGAAACAATATGACACTAGAACTTGAGTAACGAATCTTCGTGCGGAAAGCTTTCATCATTGCTAAAATTCAAACAGAGAGGTCAGTTTTAGTTGAGTTTTAACATATTAGTTCGTATTAGCTATAGCCCTCATGCATACGTTCGCACAGACGTAACTTGTGCTTCTTGTTAGAATCAAGATATCCGAAGGTTCGCTTAACTGATGGCTAAACAGTATTTTTCCAATTTTGGGGAGTGCATCTGTATTATTGGTAAAAAACATAATTGTGTCCACCTTGCTGATTTCAGCTCTTAAAGAATGCTTGGCTTCCCAGACAAGCAGACATATGTTACATAAATATAAAAAATGAACGAAATTAATTTGAAATATTTAGAGAAGCCAATCTTATTTGTGTGTCCTTAACTGTGGTTGTCTAAGTATGTAAGATCAGGAAAATAATAACTGGTGATCAATCTTTTTCTAAATCGTATTGACGTCATCAAGACCGGCATATTGCAGATCCATCCTCACTACCCATTACACTTTACCACTCACCCTACCCCCAACGTCCCCATATGACCTCAAATCGAACATTATGTACGAAAATTGTTTGTCATTGTGCATTAAAATCATCAAGAAGTCAACACAAGAACTTGCGAACATAGTTATTTCGAGGAAAGCATGATAACACTGTCCAGAATTGTGCGGTTTTGTGTGTCTCCTTTTCACTATTACGTACCTTTCGCTTTTGTGTTCGGCGTTAGCATACAGTAAACAAGAGAAAGAGAAGAAGGTTCATTTTTGTTTGAGTGAGATAGGAAATTCTGAGAGCTTTTCAGTTACAGACAAAGTCAAGATATTCTTGGCAGCATATGTTTTTAACGGCAGAATCTTTATAGACACCTCACTCGACAAAACGTCGTCTCTAGAATTGGATAGATGATTAGATGTTATCTGTTTTGTTTTTACAAGAAACTGAAACACAAAAACCCCAATGACTCAAGAAGCTGACTGTTATTTTCACTTCACACTGACAGCAAGGAGGTAGAAATAAAATAAATGTTTGAAATTTTAATAACCTCGATTAAGTGATGGATGGTGTTGCACTTGACATTTCGAATTCTTTGTTGTTACGTAATTGTCGAAGTGATGAAGAAAATGAAAATTTTTATATTCAATTTGGTACTGTATGGTTCTATCGAGACTGTAATCTAACGCTCCCTCAATTCAGCACAATTTTGAGCTCAGGCGAACAGTTTTCGTATTTTTTTTCTTTTTTTGTCTCTGGAGAATGCCATAGAACCTATTGATTATTTTATCAATTTTCTATCGAATTTGGCTAAATTTCACGTTTATCGAGTATCTGGGTCATTTCATCGTTCTAATTTTCATGAATTTAAAAAAATCCATATCTTGCTTTAGGCGTAAAAACTAAACAAAAACAAACGTGATTAACGCCTGATTCTTTCCTGACTTTTAATTAAATTTTTCATAAAGAAAGATTACATTTTTTGGCCGTATAGCAACACAAGCATACAAAGATTTATGAATCTAAAATTTTCAGTTTTCAGAATAAATGCTCAGAGCTAATTAAGGCAAAAATGTGGAAAGTCTTTCCGATTGCATACATGTTAAACATGGTTGTTCAAAGTAATTTAATAAAACGGATCATTTGATAAAAAAGATAAAAGCGGTAGAACTAGAGAAGTTAAGCTTTCATTTGAAATTTCCTCCTACACTCGAGCCGATAATAAAAGATTTTGCCTGGAAAATTTTGACAAAAATAAATAAAACAAAACAAACCAAAACGCACGCTTTTGAAAACAATAATTTAGACATGCTTTGATTAGCAAATTGAAAACAGAATTATTCTTTCCTTAACCGATTTTCAACATTTCATATTTCGCTAGGTCAACAGAGCCCTCGATAACTGAGGTTATGCTGAACAATTGCAAGTAAGATAAACAACGTAACGATTTGGCAAATCTTCACCCCAGAGAATACATCATTTGAGTTACATCTAGAGCAAATTGGGTCCCACTGAAAATATTAATTGGCCGTTAATTCGCAGGAACATATCAGTTTACAAGCAAGAGCAGCAAGAGTTCTTCCTGTTCTTGAATGATAAACCAGATCATTGCAATGTTTTAGGAAATATTTGGCAAAGTTATTATGCTCGAATGGCGAAATGGAATTCCTCTAAAAAAAAAAAAAAAAAAAATGGTGACACGAGCTGTGTGTTTCGTTAGTTTCCACGAAATATACCCCATAAGATTCTAAGTTATACACAAAGCCTTTCTAGATGACCTCATTACATTTTAAAATATCTCGTTCGCAAGTTGAAGAGATTTTGGAGGACTGACTGAATGACTGACTGACTGTAAGAGTCACAATTGAAAATTATCAGTCGTTACTTACCAAAGTATATCATCAAGTTTCTTCCCTATACTACTCGATCTGTCCAGTTTACGTCGTCAATCTTTCTGTTGCATGTGCGTGGTTGTTTGCGACAGTATTTGCAGCTCTGTTTTTAATATCTCTGAAGGCACCGTTTAAAATTCCTGGTCTGGTTTTAGCTGTTTTATCTTCTCAATCCAGCGGTTGGCATTGAATTTACTTGCGGTGGACAAAGTATCCCTTCTTTAATCCGACACGAAACACCTTCAAAATGATTTCGAGCAGTTAAATCTTTAAGAAGGTTTATTAATCCTCTTATGTAAACATATACTGACACTACAAACTGCTTCAGAGACATTTTTGTTTTAAATACTAACATAAACAACGGATTCTATTATTACCCTTGATTTTTTCCGTTGCTGACAGCTATGGGTCAAGTGTTACAAATTTTAGTTCAAAACCGAAATATTATTTCATTTTTCCTTTGTGGAAGTGAAAAAATGTTGAATTATTAGGTAAGAGGTTACAAAATCCGACTAAGTGTATTATTTATTAATATAAAGTTAGACTTAAGTTTTCATATTTCGTCAAAATAAAGTACCAAATTCCGTCAACTGATTTCATATATATTTTCAGCTAGACTGAAAATCGCCCAATTTCCTGTCAGTGTAATACCCGAAGATACTGCATTTCTTGTAAATCAAGTTGCTCATGAGCTGTCTGTCTGTCGAAGCCAAACTGCAAACTGCAAACGCCGATATAATGGTTGTGAAAAACTTAGCCGTTCTTGTCGTGGTCGTACGTAAGTTTTATTATGTTGCTGCCTAATGAATCAAGCTATGCAGTTCAAGGGGTGCGTAAATACGATAATAAATCATGGTTAAATAGTTTATTTCAAAGGAACATGCATATGTCGTGCTTTCAAATTTGGTTTCTAAATTCAAAACAGACTTAGCTCACCAAAAAAACTTCAATTATCACTTTAATTTCCTTTCTCCATGTTCCTATAGGTCGGGGAAAAAAAGGCATACATTTTCAGCGTTTGGTGAGGTTTTATCGTTTAGCTTTGATCAAGACTGGTTGTAGCGCTTAAATATGACATCAACATTTACAAACGCTTAGTTTATCGTCATAACTTGGGGTCCATAGCGTCTATAGTTGATTTTAGGTTCTTTCCAATTAGTTCTCGAGGCGTTTGGGATGATAAACAATTAACCAGCATGTTCCACTGAGAAACAACAAAAAGTAAACAAATATATAGAAAAATAGATAGATACATCATTTTCCAAATAAATAATGATCAGTTTTGAATGTCAGGTTCAGAAATCAATGAATTCTATATTATAATTCAAGTTAGGGTGTATAGACAAACGACTACAAGCAAACTTAAGCATGCTTCAGCCCTTTGGCTCCCAGTGATTATCATGTAGCATCTCCCCAGAACAACCATACACCATCCAGCAAACAGGTAATGAGAATACTCAAACTTATCAGGGTAAAAGTTGTCACCTTAATCCAACACCAAATTCCCGTATCTGGTTTACTCGAAAATGAGCAGTAGCTAGAAAGGAGAATTAAAAGTCAGATCTTGAGAGTTGAACGGGTCAACTGAACTGAACATGAAAAGGATATATTGAAAGATAAAATGTGAAAAAAACAAAACAAAAAAAAAACAATTAATGTGAATGCTAGGAGAGGTGAACAGTGTCTCGTGAAAAGAATACAGAGGGAAAGAAAAACTCGCTTATAAAATGAATTTTAATTACAAGTCTATAACATATATCTCAAAAGTTTTAAACATGTTTATTGCTTAATGGGAAGCTCACAACAGTCAAAGGAAACCTGCGTGAGCTTTTCTACAATCTATCAGCGCAGTCAATATTTTCAATTTTAGTGGCAGATTATCCCTAATGAAGAAGAGATGCTAAGAAAAGCCTTATTATCTGGGGTGAACAAGATAGTGTCTCTTGTTAACCCCACATGATTTGGCTTTTCGTGCATCAGGTGCACTCAAGTGTCCATGATTTTGTAATGAAGTAGGCAATGTAATGAAGAAGAAGTAAGAATTGTTCATTGTGAAATATAATAGATCTTAGATCGAGGTAGCCGGTTGCTGTCTACGTGCTTTTTTACTGTGGGCTATTTTGTAGTCTGCGTAAACATCTCTAATCGGATTGCTCTCTCCACCCTGGTTTAATATGGCGGTCAATTGTTTGTTCGCATGATTTCTGATCGTTTAGCAATTTTTGTCATATTTCGAAAAATATATTTCATTTTTCGAGTACATTGAATAGTTTTCTCTCCATGTGAGTTCTCTCTGAGTGACACGACTTGCACCTATGGAGTACAATTTCGGTATTGCGAGGCAGAAGTCAGAATTACGAGAGGAAGTTTATAGATAAGGATCATTGTGCTTATTTTACTTCCCTTGAGGTGGGTACGAACAATGTGGGCGTGCGTGACTTCTAGAGTACCGATTATCAAACAAGTATTTTTGGTATGGAAAAGTAATAGGAAATCGTCATGAAAAATTGAAGAACATGAACTCGACGTCACACGGGAACTCCTACATGGCTGAGTGACAGGAACACGTTCTTAAGGTTACCGTGCACCTTCAGGGGTGTCTCCCGTGCAAGCGATGTAGCGCGTCCGGTTTAAACTGTAGATATCTAAGCCCCATATCAAATTAAAGCTTATAGGACTGGCTATCAGACTATACGAAAAAATAAAAAAAAAATTTAATTGTCGAATTTTTCACGGCTTCTAAGCTACAAGAGAAAGGGAATTTGATCGATTGCTCTCAAATTTTGACAGTAGCTAATTTTACATATAAACAAAAAAAGATGTCTCCAAATTTTTTGTTTCTAAATACTTTTTTTTTTCAAGAGCGATTTTTGTACGATCAATCCACAATTTTTTTAATCCTATTTCAAAGATGTTCTATGACTTTTCACTGAAATTGAATATAGCAAATCGCGGATACGTTTTTTAGCGCTTTGGCCCCGGAAACGAAGGAACGCATTAAGTAAGCGAAAAACAAAATTCGCTTTGACATGTAACGTTCAAAAGGTGATTCGGTCGCATACCGTGGTCCGTAAGGGACATCAAAACCCAACCGTTTATTTTGAGATATATTCGTAACTGTTTTCAATGATTTTTTTGTTGCTGGTTTTTTTTTCTCAAAAACCATTTTTTTCTCTCTTTTTTTTTTTTTAACTCAGGTTTCATTCAAAACCCAGTTTTTTTTTTCCAAAACCCAGGGTTTTTTTTTCCAAAACCCACTTTTTTTACAACTGTAACCCCAGATTTTATTTTCCTAAAGTCAGGTTTGTTTTTTTTGTTTGTTTGTTTTTTTTTTTTACCAAAACCCAGGTATTTTTCCCAAAACTCAAAGTTTTGTTCTAAGTTTGACTGTCAATGTCATACTTTACTGCTGGACGAATGCGGACTCATTAAAAAATAAACAAGATGCCCGCAACAATCAAGGTGGTTCTATCTCTTTTCAGTTTCATTCTATGGCTTTCACGTTGAGTAGGCATGATGCCTATGTACCTGCCTGTGACATCGACAAATTCTGACCGCAACTGTCTTATATTGAGAGGTACTTTAATCTTGGAGTGGATTAATCACAAATCTTAACCTTTCTTCTTCTCGTACACGGAATACGACTCAGTATTCGACAGCTGAAGAGGATTCTCTTCTCATTGGGGTTATGTAGAAGAAAAAATCACAGCGATCTGCAAGTGGTCATTGCTGTGATTGAAAAAGAGCCCGAAGGATCTGATAGTTTGATTGGATAGCGGCAGATGCATCAAAGACTTCGAGTTGACGATGGCTTGGTGGTTAGCAGTGAGACAGTTCGGCTTGCAATGAAACGCCTCCACCCTGGAGGAGTGAAAACGCTACATCGCTGCAACGTTGACATTTCCAGTGCCTCTGCCACCGAGTTCCTTAACACAGTCTAGGTAGTAACGTGCCAAGATTCGAAGATTATTATTTGATGAACCGACCTCGAGCCATTGTATACGTGGGCTGTAGCCATCTACAGCTCCATGAATGCTAAAACCGAAAGGCTTTGATTTGTCGTAGCCGTCTAAATGCCATATAGAATTAGGTCCTTTGGCAAAGTATGTCCTTATTTTTAACTTGTGCCGTGATCGCCTTTCAACTCCTCCAGGGTCGAGGTGTTTCATTGCAAGCCGAACTGTCTCTCTGCTGGTTGAAAGTACCTCTAAATAT